TCACGGTCAGGGCGGTTAGGATCTGGAACCAACTTCCAAGGGAAGTGGTGCTGGCTCCTACCCTGGGGGTCTTTAAGAAGAGGCTCAGTCTTCATGCACCAATCCAAGGATAACATACATCCTGCCACTTCTGTCTCCAGCCCTGTTTGTTATCTGCCATTCTTTGGGTCTCCCTGCTGAAGCCTTGATCACCATCCTACACACTCCCACACAAAGACAAAGGCCCCTGTTTCCAATCCTCTGGTCGCCAGGCTCCTGCTGGCTGTGGCTGCTTGGCTTTTCAGCTTCTTTTGTCTAATAAGCCTTACCCATTCATTTGGGCTCAGCTGTGATCAGGCAGAAATGGGTCTCAGTCTCCAGAGTACTCTGGATGCACACCCTGCAAACTCCACACCAACCATGAGACAAAACACACACAGACACGGACACACACATGCATGGACTCCCAGCAAACTACCAGTCCCATGCAAACCTCCTTGTCTCACCTGCCAGCCACCTGCTCCTCTACTAGATAGTGCTGCCTCCTAAAAAGGTGTCCAAAGATTCAAGAAGAACAAGGAAACCTTTGGCCCGAAGAGACCCAGTCAGCACTTTGCTGCTGAATTGCTAAAAGCGGGTGAGGTGGTAGGGGACTAGACTGCTGGCTGAAGGACTGGATCTAAGTGGGAAACACTGCATAGCCAACCATGTACTCAGGCTAAACTATTTCCTGACAAACTCCCTAACTGCTCTATTAAATGCATGTGTTGCACCAGCATATAGCTCTGCTTCCTAGCAAACAAATAAGAAAACCAGGCAAGCCAAAATTAGTTATGCTATTTTACTTCCTGGGCTTTTTCCTTTTTTGTTCCCTTCTCCCTTGGTATGTCCACAGTGAAAATTGTGGGTCCCTCCTGTATATCTATAAAAGGCCAGTGGATGTAGCAGGGGGAGATCTTGCAGTAACATGCTGCCGATGAAAATGTAATATTTCCAGTATTTGCTACAAAATGCCCTCTGAGAATGACTGAGGTGAAAAAGCTCTGAAAGGATTACAATATCTTTCAGTTAGTAGGTTTTTTTTCTTTTTCCCCCCTCTTTTTTTCTACCGAGAGGCTGAATTTCTCGAGAACACAAAGACGTAGCTTTAAGGGTAAAATTTCCCTAGGCACTTAGGACCCTAAATTTCTAACATAAATTTAGGACCAGATTTTTAAAGGCATTTAGGCACCTAACTTTGGCCCTTCAATACTTAGGTGCATGATAATTCAATGGGATGGAGGACCTGAAAGCCACTTTAAGTGCTTTTGAAATGTTTATCTGTAGTCTTCAGAAAAGCAAGACTCCAAGGATGTTTTGGGTCATGCAGGTTAATATAGATTTATCTTACAAATGAGTCCGAGAAGCCGGCAAATACCACAATTCATGATATACAAAGGACACCTGCGTGTGCGTTTCAGATTAGAACGGAGCCCCAAACCAGCAGAACTGCTCTCAGGTTAAGCCTTATGGTGACAAGCAGGTAGGAGTTTTATGTATGTGCAGCCACCCAAGATGCTAGAAAGCCAATAGTGAATGAACATCCTAATTACTGTTATTATGCAAAGCCTCACATGCATACGATTAGTTATTGTATGATCCAGTGTCACCATATTTATCCTGCACATTTCATCCCAGAGAGTACAATGGCGACTCTTAAATGAGGGTACTTGGCACCATTCTTCACAAATTTCTTCAGCCTCTAAACTCTCCTTGCTGATGATGGTGAAATGATCTTGAATAGGATCTTCTCTGCTTGAGGAAAAGGCATCTCTTCCAGCAGCTGTCCTGAGAAAGCACCCTAGCTACTTTCTTGCTCATCACCCTAGGTCCCCATGGGAAAACAACTTGTGACATTTCCATGTTTATGATAGGTGTCAAATGAATGCCACCACGATGGAGAAGAACAGATGCAAGCAGAGAAAACAAGTGGCACAAAAGTGAAACAGAAAGCCATGATTGCATGCACAAGTCAGCAACACTGCAGCTGACACCTTGCTTTGCATTGTTCTGGGAAGCAGTGAGAAGATCTTCTATTCAACAGCCTACTGATGATTCTCCTTTTAAATTAATTCATATTTATGACCTCCTAGCACAGTGGTTCTGAACCTTGCTAAGACTCAAGGCACCCTTCGGAAAAAGTCAGCTCTTAGTTTTTACTCAGCTTTTGACTACAGAAAAATACTAGCACAATTCTTCTGTTGCAAAGAACTCAGAAAGACCGCAACAGGCTAGAATGGCTTTGATACCATGGATTCCTATTTAAAATCTCTCGGTGGATCACGTGACTCACGTTTGTGTACCTAACAGTGCTAATATTGCGTGGACCCCATGACATTCTTGAAAGGATCTCCACGCACCCTGGTTGAGAATCACTGCCCTAGCAAGATTAGTTGTGATTCCCCACTTCGGGGCCAGTCGGTGTCACTCACACACTGGCCAAATGAATCGATATCCCCGTCCCATCTCTTCCACTCAAGGAACATTTACGCTTCCTTTGCATGAGAGAGTATGGGACCTCACTGAGATATCATTGCCTCTCACCTCTGCAGACCAGCACATCTCTACAGCCTTGCTGCAATTAGCCCAGATCCATGCATTTCAGGTATATGATGGTTTTCCTTTTGCATATCAATTTTAGAGAAGCATGGCACGAGAAAGACAGAGCCAGCAACCTTACCAGCTCCCACAGTCACTATGGCACTCTCTTGGCCGATGATGTGCTCTTTCAGCCGCTGCTCCAGTGGAAATCTGCGCCGTTCCTCTAGCTCTCTCTTCCGCTGCTCTTCCTGGAACTGCGGAGAGGAAGCGAGGGCCGTGACTAAAATGTTTTCTGACCAAACAATAACATTGATAACGCATCTTTCGCACAAAGAACCACAAAGCACTTGGCAAACATATATTCCAGCTGTCCCAGGGGGATCACTCTGCCCAGCTGCTCAAAAGCAGGCACAACTGAAGGGTACTCAGTAGTTTAACAGCCTCCAGAGCAGAAAGTTAAAATTCTGGAGAAAGAGTGAATGATATTGTCCATGCCCCTCCCCCTGCCATTGCTGCACTCCATGCAGGCGGCTCCCACTAGCTCCCTTGCTGCGTTGCACCGTGGGCTTGTCTGGAGCTGTGGGCTGCACCCTTTGGGACTGGAGCAAGAAGCAAAAGCTAGGGATGAGATGGGGAGCCTGGAGCCCTTGGCTGTAGCAGCAGCCAGCAATAGGGGGAGCAGAGGCTGGGTAGGAGCCTGGAGCCACACATTAACTCCTTGCAAGCTGCATGTGGCCTGTGGGCTGCCAGCTGGACAGCCCTGATCTATGTCATAAAACGGCAGGGGTGCTGGGGGTGGAAATGTACATAGCTGAAGGTAATTAGCTAAGCTGGACTTTGAGCTGGGATCTATAATGACCAGGACACTTGATTCTACATCTCTTAGGAAAGATACTTGATTCTGCATCTCCTAGGAAAGAAAGCTGTTCCAAAAGTACCCTGGATCCTACGGCCATGCTAGGGACATGGTTTCAGTACTAGATCAGGGGAAAGAGCGCTACTGACCAAGATTCCCTGATGGACACTGAGCAAAGCACAAACCTCCTTGCCATGAAAAATAAAAAGATAAAACATAAAACCTTATTCTTGTCTACGTTCCCTTGACACTTGATTCCTGGAATTTGCTGTATTTAAAGCAAAATGCAGCCCCCCAACCTCCTTCCTGGTTGAGGCCACCGACACAGACAGCCCATGCTTCAGCCTCTCCATGAACACCCTGTCAATGTAGGTAGGGCTTTGGAAGTCATCTTCAAAGCCATGAACCCACCAGTGCCCAGCTCCATCCTGAACTGCCAGGACAGCGGCGCTCCCCAGGGAAAAGGCAGATCACAAAGTGCAGAGGGAGAGGGGACCCAGCTACAGAACGACCTTCCAGAGGAAATCCTGCGGCCAGTGCCCTTTTCAAAACCAACCAGAATACCATTCACAGCCGTGGATGTGGAACATGGGAGCTGTGGAACCTGCTTCCCTTAGTCCGGGACGAAGGTGTCAGTGGCAGGGTGGAGAACAGCACATGTGCCTCCAGACTTGTGGCTCAATCTCATCGCCAGACAATGCTAACCCCGCTTGCAATCTGGATACACAGTAGTCTGAAGAAAAGGCCTCTTCCCAGTGCAGGGGGATAGCTAAAAGGAGATCTTCTCAAAAGAACACCTGGGATTTCTACTGGTGTGTAGTTAAGCCAGGGGTGCGTAGTGTAAGCTGGATCTGGCCCCTGGCGCCATGTCATCCAACCCATAGGGTTCCCCATGGATCTGTGATAGCCCTGTAGGCCATAACTCTGCGTGCTAGATGGGTACACAGGGTGGTACACAGGGCCCCATGGTCCCATGCTCACATGCAAGGCTTGGCAGGGACATGCAGAGCCCTGGAGCCTGATCCCAGAATATGGGACCAGGTGGGGGCAGGTCTCAGGACCCAATTCCAGCATATGGGGCTAGGCGGGGGCAGGACAAGACCTAATCCCAGTGCATGGGATCCAACTTAACCCATGGACCAACCCTGTGCTACTCATCTGGCCCGTGGGGCCAAAAGGTTGAGTGCCACTGGCCTGAGCACTTAAACCATCTTCTGAAGGGGGAACACTCATAAGAGCAGAAAAGGCTGTTATGAAAGTAGCAGTGACATATGGGTAAAACCTGGTAGCTGTTTTGCTGGCCTTTTGATATGGCAGTGACCTCCATAGATGTTAAAAAAATATACAAACCAAACAATCCAACTGTGGCTGATGTGATCAGTCTGCTGCAAAACGGAGAGATCCCATCAGTCCTGAGGTTTCATCTGGAGCAATAACTTCACTGCCAACCCCAGCGGACTGACACAGGCAGGACCGAAGCCAGCGTGTCAATGGTGCATCTCCCTCAGGCTTTCTATATATCACCAGGCACAAAATGCTGAAGCTCCTTCTATTTATCTGCGTCTGTGTCTTTCTCTATATCCAGACAGGTTCATTCTTTTTCCTTTTCCCTCCCCTTTTCTTTTCCTTTTTGTACAGTCTGAGGAACGTATGCTCTGCTGTCGGAGCAGCAATGTACGGTGCTGGTTTATATGGAGAGGAAAAGGACTTCTGAAGGGGATGAGTAATGCAAGAGCCACGCACGGCTCCTGTCTTTGGAAACCTTGTCTCTCTCTGGGAAGACTGAGTCTCCCAGCACCTATGACTTGTAATGTCAAGTTTCTGCATGCAAAAGCACAAGAGATTCTGGGGAGGAGGCAGGTCAGGCAGCTGACAAAGGGGCTGCACTCTCAATCCCCCACCAGGTAGAAAAGCCTGCTGCGGCGCTTTGAGAACCTGCCCTCCCAAAGTTTCTGCTCTGTGCCTTGTCTGGGCAGGCTATTGCAAAATCATAAAATCATAGACTATGAGGGTCGGAGGGGACCTTAGGAGGTCACATCTAGTCCAACCCTGTGCAAAGCAGGACCAGCCCCAACTACATCATCCCAGCAAAGGCTTTGTCTAGCCGGGGATTCAAAACCTCCAAGGATGGAGAGTCCGCAACTTCTCTAAGTCATCTGTTCCAGTGCCTCACCACCTTCCGAGTGAGAAAGTTCTCCCTAATATCTAACCTCAACCTCCCCTGCTGCAGCTTGAGCCCATTGCTCCTTGTCCTTTCACCTGCCCCCACTGAGACCAGCCCAGCTCCATCCTCTTTGCACCCCGCTGCAGGGAGCTGAAGGCTGTTATCAAATCCCCATAGTCTTCTCTTCTCCTTACTCAATCAGCCCAGTTCCCTCAGTCTTTCCTCACCAGTCATGTGCCTCAGCCCCTCAACCATTGTCGTTGCCCTCCGCTGGACTCTCTCCAACTTGTCCACATCCTTTCTGTCGTGGGGCCCACAGCTGGACACAGGACTGGAGATGTGGCCTCCCCAGCGCTGAATAGAGGCGAGGAATCACTTCCCTCGATCTGCTGGCAACGCTCCTACCGATGCAGCCCAGGATGCCGTTAGCTTTCTTGGCAACAAGGGCACACTGCTGGCTCCTATTCAGCTTATTGTCCACTGTCCCCCCCAGGTCCTTTTCGGCAGAATCAACTTACTCAGTGCAGAGACAAAAGGAGGGACTTCCCCGGTGGCAACGCTGCCCTGGGACTGGCAAGGCAGTCTTTGGAAGGTGGCTGTATGGCAGTATCTGCAGTGGCTGTGCCAAACACTTGTTTCCACTTCCATGTGGAAGTGGGGCTATTGCAACCCCTTCCCTCTGCTCCAAGCCCTTCATCCAGAGCAGGGCCAGATCTCATGTGAGGCTCTCACTCTCTCTGGTTAGCGATCACTTCTGCTGATTTCTTTTATCCCAACCCTTCTCCTCTCTGTGCAGAACCAGACGAGGCTTCCTCTGCAGTGGGTCTGCACTGTTCCTTCAATGGCAGAGCGTACCTCCTTTCTGTCACCCTCACAGAAGCATCAGGGTTAGCCACTCAAGCGCTGGGCTCATGCTGGCTGGCACTAGACTGGTTCTGCTCTGGGAAGCAGCCACCCAGCGAGCCTGCCCTTGTTTAGTTTTGACATCCGGCCAACGGTTTGCTGGGCTGGTGACTGGCAGCCGCCAGAAGCAACACCCCCTCCTTGCACGGGGTGTGAGATGCTATCCGCTGGGACTGTGTCGATAACTGATTAAACTTTCATGGAACATCATTGGCATCTAAGTGGATTACACTGAGGTTACGTGCTTGGAAAGAGATGCGGGGGCTGAGACTCCTGGCGGGAGCCAAGAGATCATCCGTGTTCATAGGGGCTAAGAGGTTCTTGCAAGATGGTGCCAAGCACAGAAGAAAAGAGCCCATCTCTTTAATCAGAGACATGCTCTATTAGCTGCTTCAGACCTCACCTTGAGATAGCAGTGCCCGGCTTCCCGCTGCTACTACGGGCATGGTAATCATGCTCACTGGCTTTTATTATTCTTTATCCGGCATGGCACCTCTCCCAAGCTTGATTTCATTTACGGGAAAATATTCAGAGAAGAGAGGTTCAAAAGCACAGCTGCGGTGAGACTGAACGCCTACAAACAACCTGGGAATGTGGAGGACACAGCATCTTTTACATTACAGGAAAAGGAATTTAAAAGATTAACACAACCATGATTGTAAACTTGTTTTCAGCCGGAAAACGTGTCAGGGATATGAAGTAAGCTAGGGAAGTAACAACAGACTTCAATAGACCTTTAGGGGCAGTCTGTTCCCATCAAGGGGCAAATGGGCCCCTGGCGTAACTCTGTGGGTTACAAAGGGGCTGCAGCCAGTGGCTTCTATGAGGTCAGTGAGACCCCGGCTTTATTCTCTAACGTATACAACTGTGTCGGCAGGTCCATGGGCAGGCACTTTGCGGAGGTCTACTACTCAGATATCCAGAATAGGATGGGCAAGGTATAAAAGACCAGTAGAAACATGGAGATCCAGTGGTCTGAGATGGCCCAGGATCTGCAGGACCTATAATTCAGTTCTGGCTGTGGCACTGACAGGGAAATGGGGCTTTCAGAGAAGCCTGGGAAACACCAGGAGGACTGGCTCTAAGTTGCTGTCTTGCGGCTTCTGTGGGAGTCTTGGCAGAGGGGTCAAGACCTGAATGGGCACAGGGACTACCTTAGGATAAGGGAGTACAAACAGTAAGAACAGGGCAGATGGAGGCAGGGTCAGGTGGTCTGCAGTAACTATCTATGTGCATACTCTTTATCTGAAGGTAAAACGGTGAAAAAAGGGCAAGAGACTACAGTTTAGCTTCCCCTTCCCATCAGGGCTGGTGCACGGGCAGTGGAAACTGGGCAGACGCAAAGGGTCCAAAGCCAGTCAGGACCTCCACTGCATTATGCTTATGGTTTGGGTTGGGTGTGCAGGAGCATAGGAGCCCCGCTCTTGCCCGCTGCGTGCACACGGACAGCTACTGGCTTCATTTGCTGCTCTACCGTGGCTCAGAGCTTCAACCCCACAGACGAGTGCCGTGCACATGGAGCAAGCCCTCGCCGAATACCTCTTTGCAAACAAATTAAAAATACATATGAAAACTCCTTGTTACTCTGTCATGGGGATATGTAAATAAAATAGATGGGCTGTGCCCATCCGGTTAATAGCCCTGCCAATTCATTCTCCAGCAGTGATTAAAACGAGCAATAAATTCTCAAAGACTCTCGGTGGAACGCAGAGGCAGAAGTGGAGTACGGCCCCAGTAGCGCCACGTCCCCCTCAGCTGAATATTCATCACCAGCCAGCTTCCCAGACTTATGCTTTATATCCGCATGCAATCGTTTTCATTGACGGCATCCTCCCCTCTATATTTCCTCTCTCCCCACTATCTATTAGTTAAGCGCGAAAACTGATGCAGCTTTTAAAACAGTTTCCAAGTTAAAAGGGCAGCTTCATGCACTGATGCTGGGCTCCAGAGACTATTTAACCAGGAGAGGATCTCCCCCGCTCACCCCCTCTCAGTGATTTAAAGATTTTGTCTCCAATGTTTCTGCTTTCAAACTTTGGCAGAACCGTTCTGATTGCTAAAGCTGCCTCCAAGCTATGCCTCCGGCCAATCTGAGAAGCCACCAGCTCTGTAGAGGACTACCACATTCAAGCTCTTTTTAGCTGGGAACAGAAGGGAATGGTGTCAGAGAGCAGGATGAGCAGGGGTCTAGGGCTAGAGCAGGCAGTTAGCAACCTGGAAACTGGGTACATTTGGCTCCATCAAAGACCTTCTGTGTGAGGGCAGCCAAGACAATCATGTTGCCTTTCACTGGCTAAACATGATTCTGCCTCTATCTAAGATGCTAGCTGGTACTTAAGAGCATGCTTATTAGCATGTTACCTGACACATTTCCCAGCCTGGACAAGCCCTCCAGCCCATGTTATCAAAACTGCAAATTCAGCGCCTAATGCTAGACATCCAGAAACTGAAGCACCCCAAACGAAGCCTAATTTTTACATACAGGAGCCTAAACTTCTCTGGGCCTCAGTTTTCCCATCTGTAAAATGGGGGTGATGATCCATGCATCACAGGGGTTTGTGAAGCTTCATGCCTTGATTGACCCAAGATTCGTGAAAGAAGGGCATTCCCAAAGTGTAAGTCATTATTACTACTTTATAATGATGCTGCTTCTCTTTTAAGCAGAACCTGTATCCACTAATCTTAGTGGCAGTTTAACAGGAGGCACTAATAATTGGGAATTTTTCTTGTTAGAGATGATGATTATCTTGAGAACAGGTAAAAGGTGAACATGTTTTCCCCAGTGCCCCAAGCCCTGAGTCTGTATGTCCCCCTCCTTAATCAATGCAGTTGTGGTTCCCTCCTCTTCTTAGCCACAAAACTTCTACAAACGACAACTCATTAATGAAGCAGGATGACTTTGTGCACCCGCTGAAGGAGACGAGTATGGGAGAGGTTAGGGGAGCAGTCGACAGACACAGCAGAAGTCAGTGTCTGATCCAAGACCAGTGCTCAGAAGTTACAGGATCTCACCTGTCCCTGGACAGCTAGGCCAGGCCTGTCTCAAGGATCAATCATACCCCTCGCAATCCCAGGGATTTCAGAAGAAAAAGGTGGGACTGGCATTCCGATTTTACCCCACGCTGCTTGGAGGCTATGTAGGTGACAAGACAATATTGCTTGCGCTGTGCACTTCAGTGCCACACTAACAGGCCGTGCAGAAGGGGAGAATGAGCAGCCACAGAGGTCCCCAAGGATGCTTCTACTAATTTCTGTAGGTTTTAATTGTGCATTGTGTCACTTCAGGTCATTCTTGAAAACTCCCTGTACGTCTTACAAGGGTGCAGTTAGGGGCGTCACCCAGGTCCCCTATGGCAGGCAATCTACAACCACCTGAACCTGACTCACCTTTGTTTCCGAAGCCTTCAGCAGTTTCATGACTTCCCCTTCGCGGGCATAATCCAGCGGCGTGTGTCCCATTTCATTCTTCTGCAGGGGGTTGGCTCCTGACCAGAGGGGGAGAAAGGAGAGATCAGAGTTCAAACCTGGGACAGAATAGACATGAAGAGCAAACCTGCGACCCCCAGGGCTAGCCAGTATCTCCCTCTACCCTTTGCTCTGAGCAGTAGCGAGATCAGAAGTGGACAATGTCCAACCAGCAGTTACATGCACGGACGTCACAGGAACAACAAAAGGGAAGTGTCACTTGGAACAACTGGCCTGGCAGGGAAAAGCTGCAGCGGCAATAAAGGCCCATGGAGCGACCAAAAGAAAACAGAGCTTCACAAAAGCAGCAGCTACTAAGCTTAGGGCAGGCAAACAGGACTACAGCAGCTTCGATTGGATACGGCATTCTTCTCCACTTCCTGGTCTACACTGTAGTCCAGAACGGCTGTAGCCTGTAAAACAGCTGTTGCCTTATGCCACAAAGGTGGCTGTATTGTAACTGTGACAACTCTTTACCAAAGGCAACTTGTCGTTCACTCGAGAGGCTCACATAGACTCAGGGAAGAAGTTCTACCCTAAGCACTGACAAAACTCACACCCCCTCTCCCACTGAGCAACACAGCAGCCGTGATGGGATAGGGCAAAATATGGCATGCTACAAAAGCACTAGTAGGATGATGTAGCTGGGGATGGTTCTGCTTTGAGCAGGGGGTTGGACTAGATGTGACCTTCTGAGGTCCCTTCTCACCCTCATTTTCTGTGTTTCTACATGCTGTACTCCAAGGCAGGGAGAAAGAGATGCAACTTGCTTGCCTAAGGAAATAGGCAGAGATGGGTGCACCAAAGATGTCAATCGAGGACTCTCAGGGGATCCCAGCATGTCATGGTGCCCTGGCAAGGGCAGAGGCCGGACCAAGTGCCATCCCACACAGGTCACACTGCTGTAGCCTGCTGCCTCCAGCTACGCAACTGTTCCAGCTGCCTGTGACCTGAAGCTCTGCTGCTTCAATTGCTACACCTGACTAGATGGGTCATCTTTCAAGTGATAGCACCTTTGCAAACCCTAAACCCAAGACAAAAAGCAAAGACCTGCAGTGCTGCATTCAGGGTCTGTGCTGTTGCTCCAATGTTTGCCTGTCCAACTGTAATGTTTACAGGAGAAGAAAGTTAATGTGTGCAACACTAAGAAAAAAGGCGAACTTCCCAATTACACTTCCCTTCAAACTATACAAAGGGTGACAAACATTTTCCCCTGTTAACTTCTTTCTTTTTAATCTCTTATTTGGCAGAGCAGACTGAGAAACAAGCAGCTGGCAGCCTGAATTAACCTAACCCGATGAGGCTACATTTCAGGGACAGCGACTCTGACATTTCTGCAGGACCCAACTCTGCGGTTCCGATTTTTGCCTCTAAAATGCAGCGCGCTCTGTGCTGTACACTACCTGTGCTCAATAAGAACGAACCGCAATCCTAATAAACTGAAGAGCTGAGCGCGGCCTTTGCTATCCGAGCCAGAGAGACGGCGAGATGAGCCATCTCTAAGCATGGGCATTGGGGATCTATATTTGCTTACAGAATGAAAAATGTACTCCATAAACATTCGACACAGAGTAATTTCTATTGTGAGCCGTGTCATTGCAAATAAAGAATATGATCGAGACAGGTGAGATTATATACTGCCTGAGCTGGCCACTCGATATCTTTTAAAGAGACAGTGCTTTGAAAGCATGCTCCCTCCAGCTCTGATGCTGTTCGAAGACACCGTCAGCATTACACTCGGTAGTGAAAAGGGAAAGTTGTCCAAGCTCTCCAAATGATGACATCCTTGAGGCCAGACCTGCTTTCATTGGAAGCAACGAGCGTGGATTGTTTTTTTCCCCCCCCTCCCCAAGATCTATCAATAATGGCTATCCAATATTGGCCTAATCCCCCTGTTAATGGCTTTGACGACTTGACTAATTGCTGCAATAATTGATAGAACCTGACTTGTACAACTGTTCGATTTTACCGCAAGTACTGACGGCAATAAAATATTATGCCACCATAAATAACGGTGTCGCTTTGCTTGCTAACGCAACGCAAAAGTGGCTACTACTTCATCAGAGGCTTGGCCTGACCTCCTTTCTCCGGTCCCCCCCCTGCAGCCCTCCTCCCCTGCAGCTAGTCTGAATAGCACTGCCTTTTGGACACCGCTGCCTTGGCAATCTATTGTGTGTGCACCGAGAGGGCTCCAACCTTTAGATCCTTAATAGGAGGCAATTTGTCACCTCCCACTAGCTGTCTCTAGCTGGGGATCAACACCTGGGCAACACCCCAGGCTGTGTGAGGCACCCACCTCCCCTCCCTCCCCAGCACTCCTCATATTAGTAGGCTCTGGCTTATAATATTTGATAAATAGCGCTCCAGTTCACTTCCAGCATCTGTGCCGCGCCATGTAGCCAGAGCAGCTGCAGAAGGTCACTCATTGGGGAAATATGTTTCTGTCAGTGGTATTGAAAAAAGTTTAGTGGAGTGACAGGTCTCAATTTTTCAAATGTTATTAACTCCATCCTCTTAACCATTTGTCTTGAATTCCTTCAGATTCTGGATAACTGTCAATAGAGGCTCCTGGCGGGAGGGTGCTGGCGCCTTGCAAGTTGGAGGCTGCTTTACTCAGTGGCTAGTTTTTACTAACTCAAGGGTGGTGGTGGGGGGGATAATGAAAGGAGGGGATTAGCCCATGCGCAGCACAGGGAAGCAGCGACTCAAGCTAGACCTCTGGCGGGAGGCTGATTTTCCAGATCTCCTGGCCCGGCAAGGGCAGCGGGAAGGTTGGAGCAGGATTCCTAGCAGGGATTTTGGCAGGGCTTTGTTGTTTCGTGAAGTTGTAGGCTGTTGTGATGGGACACAGATTTCCTGCATGACCCCGGTGTGCAAATCATTTGAGGGGTATGTTTGCCATGCAAGAAAGGTGCGCTCTTCGCCTGGTTTGGCTAGCCAGAGTTATCTGTGGCGTGGGTGGCAGGTGCAATGAGAACAAAGCAACTTTGGGCCACAGGCTACTAAGACCACCCTGCCTTAGCTGCTATTTTAACTTGAGTTGGCCATCTCTGATCCTCCAGCTTAGGTATGAACGTGCTTTTTTTCTGAAGCATAAACACCCCCTCCTCATTTTTATGGGGGTGGGTGGGAGCAGGGGAGGGGGTACTTCCGCTGCTAGTGGGCTAACGAGGAGCTTACGCAATACCGATGTGGCCATGAATACGCCGATACACAAGTCCTTTCTTCTCGAGGCTGGACAGAAAAATGCTGGCACATCTGGCACTGAGAGACTGGAAGCAGTACCAGCCTTAGCGGGAGCCTAGCACTTGGTACACTCAGCTCTCGTGTCAACTGCCCCACAGAAGGCCAATCCACCAGCGCACAGCTACCTTCGTGCTGTCAGCCCGGTCCCCTCACAGACTGTGCTGAGTCCTTACCCGGCGATACGGGAGCTGAGCAAATGACCCACCCACCATCCTACCGGACTCCCCTTCCCTTTGTTCGAGCACTGGAGGCGCAATGAAGACAGCGATCGAGTACCCTGCCGTTAGACCCTCGTGGAGCAGGAGCCAGTGCAACTGGCAGGTCTGACCTGCAGCTGCTCTCCCCAGCTGCGAGAGGCTTTTCATTTCCAAAGGCACAACACAAACTCCAAAGCAAAACTGATTGGGCTGAAGCACGGATGCTTCTTTTGCAAGCATAGGAGCCTCCCCGTGGGACTGATCCTAAAGACGCTTGCTCATGTGATACTGCCTGGTTCTTCTACAGGTGGCCAAGTGAGGGAGAGTGGCAGACTCCGTGTGTCCCTGCACGGGGTTTAGCCAGAGTCTCATCGGTTCCTGCCCCGAATCACTGTGAGCGGTGCTGGCTGGCTGAAACCAGGCAGGGAGGAAGCACAGGAGAAGCCAATGCTTTGGCATGCACACCCCGGCTTTCCAGCGGTATTAGCTTAGGGACCCAAGCCAAACCACAGGCTGCGCTCTGGTGCGCCGCACGAAACGCAGGGCAGGATTCTGCCCACGTAAAGAAGAGCGGGCAGGAGCGGGCTCACTGCTTCTCTCAGGCAAACGCCCGGGTCTCAAGACTTTTTCTTTTGATAAAAACAAAAAGATGACGATGAGCCCAAAAAGACCTAGGAAGGAAGCCCAAGTCTCTAGATGAGGGTGTTGGCTGGGATGACCTGGCCATGGCTGGGGATGGTGACTGGACTGTGCCAATGCTCCTGCTAGGACTCAACTCTGGAGGGTCCTGGCTGGGGGGTCTTGCCCCTCCATTTAGGGTCAGACCGATGCTGCATTTGGGGGCAGGAAGGAAAGTTCCTCCTTGGTCAGACTGAGATGGACTTGGTGGGGGTGGGTCTGCCTTCCCTTGTAGTTGGAGGCATGGCTCTCTACCTGGGATCTCTTGAGTGTATAACCTTTTTACAGAAGCAGGGCATTGGCCCCTGCGGTCCCCCTGCTTTCATCTGTGCCAGGTTCAGGTGTGACGCCTTGTGTTACACAAGGGGTTAACTGAGTAGTTTTACTAAGAGGTCAGATTATGTTCTGTACGGGATGGTTTGGACAGGGACGATCCTGCCTCAGGCAGGGAGTTGGACTAGATGACGTCTGGAGGTCCCTCCCAGCCCGACTTCTCTACGATTTCAATGAAGATCTGTGGAATCCAACAGCTACTGTCAGGAACAACAACGGCTCCTCCGACCAGGTCAGATGCAAGCAAACTGCCTTCACAGGCAAACGCGCGTACACACACACACAGAACCAAAGGCGTTAAAAGTAATTTGCTGCTGTGGTTACACCTCTCCATGGCCCTGTTTCACTGCCAAAACAGCCCAGGATTCACTGGCCTGCCTGATGGGCAGGGGATTGCACAATGTCATCAGCCATCATCTGTGACAAGCAGTGACATTCTTATTGCTCTACATGGCTAGTTAAAGTAATAGAGAAAGACTTCTGTCCTCCTGAGCCTTCACTGATTGAATTAGCATGATCACCCTTTTTTCCTGTAAAATAAACCTATTTTTAAATCAATAGGGTGC